AAACCAAACATCATAATAATTTTATGTAATATGTTGAGTATACTGCTTCTGTTTTGAATTTTTGAGCTGAGATTGCTCAATTTTATAAATAAGGCCAGATAACTAAATGGCTGCCATATATCTGCGATGGAGGCTGAACCAATCAAGTGTCTTTATTTTTAGCTTGGTACTTTTTATACAAAAATCCTTTTATTTCCTGGATTAGTTGTTGCTCTCAAGTTTTGCAGTTTTCAGACTTTTCCCATTATTCACTTTAACCTTTTGAACTGACCCTTCTTTCCCTCTAGCAATATGGAAGCCTTAACATCTGTTCCCCTACAGCCCTGCTTTAAGATTCTAAATTTACTCTAATCCTTAAGCATCCTTCCCTGTAAGGTCTGGCCATTCTGCCAATGCCCTTGATCCTTTTCTATCCTAACTTAAGGACCATGAACTATAAGAATTTCTGTTATCTCCATCTTCACCTTTTCTACTGGTTCCTTTTTATCAATATATTGTCTAGAATGATTTTAAACTAAAACTACTAGATAGCACTATCTCACTGAACCTTCACAGACTTTAAAATAAATGTTTATTAAACTTCCACTATGTGCCATGACCTATCAACCAAGGATTTAAAGCAGTGACTATAAGGTCCTCATCCTTAATTTCTAGTTGGAGACATGGTAAAAAATTGTATTTTCTAAGACTGAAAATTGCTTTAAAGAAAGTGAAGTAATAATTCATTTTAAGGTGATATTTGGGCCAAGACCTAATAAACAAAAAGGAGATAGTCATGCTTTGCTCAGGGAGAACAACATTCCAGGCTGAATCGAACAGCAAGTTTAAAGATCCTGCACTGCAGCCAAGCTCAGCTTTTGTGAGGTAATAGCAGCAAACCTAGGGTAATCCAGCAGAAAAGGAGAAGCAAGAGGACCTGAGATCAGAAGGATAAAGACAACAGAATAAAATCTAAATTATTATCTGTTACCAGAGCAATTGAATAAAGGAATGATATAATCAAGGTTCTAAGAGTAGGTTGTCAGCTATGCCAAAATTGTATTATGGGATGGGGAAATGAGTTAAAGTACGGAACTGGAGGTAATTAGAGATGACAACTAGGGTAGTAGCCTTGGAGATGAAGAACTGCGCGGCCAGTTGGGAATATATTTTGAAAGTACACAGTCCCCAAATTATGATGGTTCGACTTAATTTTTCAACTTTACAGTGGTACAAAAGAAATACGTATTCAGTAGAAACTGCATTTTGAATTTTGATCTCTTCCTTGGCTACTGATATGCAGTGTAATATTCTCATGATACAGGGCAGTGGCAGCGAGCCACAACTCCCAGCCAGCCATGTGATCATTCACAAGAGTAAACTAGTACTCTACAGTGTAATATAAAGTGCATTTTCAACTTATAATATTTTTAACTTCTGAGTTTGTTGAGATGTAAATGGTAAATCAAGGAGCATCTGTAGAGCCAACTGGTGTTGCTGCAGAATTAAAAAAATCAAAACTGGATTTTAGTTGTCTGGCTTTAGCAGTTCACTGAAGGGGAACACCATCCATATACCAAGATTTTCAAAGAAAAGGTTTGGAACGGAACAAATGGGTCTGGACCTTGTTAAATTTGAGGTGCTGTTAGACACTGAAGTAGGCTGTTTAGTTAGCATTCTCTCACTTTCAGGTGCAGTGATGAATTTTCTCTCTTTAGACTCTTCTTTTTTTTCCTCCTATTGCATGAACACTTCCATGTTCTTTGTATGTCCCTGCCTTTGCTTATTTCTTCAAAGGGGGTATTAACTCACGGTTTAGGTTTTAGAGTGCTTTTGCAGCCTTACTGACAAGGAACATTTGCTTACTAACAAGTACTCTGTCTCCCCAATCCAATAATCCCACTTCCTGAGAAAACCACATTATAAGTCCTCCTCCCCACCTCCATGTTCTTAACCTGGAAAATTTGACCTCCAAAATATAAAATATTTAGTTTATTAATTGGGGCAATCTTTCCCCCCAAAGAAATATATTACATATGCATTAAGACATGAGTAGATAGAAGATATTTCTCAAGAAGCTTTAATAAGAACAATTTAGAAGCATAGCAATTATAAGATGAAATTTAAATGAACTTGGAAATTAGTATTTAATATAGGCTCTCTTCTGCTGAAGTAGACCTCCTCAGTTTTAGTAACTCCCCTCAGTGTGGCTTGTAACCAACCTTTATGGTAAATACATGTCAAAATGGTGATAAATTGCCAGATGAATGGAGAACTAAAGCTATTCCAGGATTTGGTCCTGTCCAAGAAGTCCATGGAGGAGACATGTGATCCATGCCAAAAGGACCTTGATATTTATGTCTTAATCCTGTATGCCAAAAGTATAAGCATTATGGGCTATTTGAACCCACGGATGTCTTCTAAGCATGGTTATTTTTGATAGGACCAAATTTCAAGGACCAGATCTCTGAATGTTATGGACAGGACCAAATGTCCTGCAAGGCTATATCCTAGTGTAGCAACAATTCTGAGCCCCTCATTAGAATCTGGTAGAGGATTTGGCCAGAAGATCAAACACTTAGATGTAATTAAAACATGTTAACCAAGTCAGTATTAAAATTTGTTGTTTTGTCATACTGAAGCTCTGAAGACAACTGTTTCTACTTCTGGTTACTCACAAAGGACCTGTACATATTCTTGATCTATAGATTCATAAATAATTGTAAATTGATATTTACTAGGTAGTTGAAACTAAACATTCTGAAACATTTCTATTTGTATTTTTAAATAAACATATCAGATAGGAACCAATATACTTGCTGTATCTTATAAAAATCTTGTTTTTTAAGTAAATGAGATATAGTTCAAAATTTAAAATACAACTAGAACTGTGCTTTTTTTCTTTAAGGTTTAATGCATGTGCACAATAAACTTGTGGATCCACTATACAGTATGAAAGAAGGAAATTGAAGGAGATTGGAGCAAAATTCTACTTGAATGAACAGAACACTTTTATAAGTAGTAGATGAATTTTCAGCTATGCAATATGATAAAACATGGGGAATTTTTGAAGATTGTCATTTTTGAAGTCTAATATCTACATGTTAAACATTCCATACTTAGAATGTGTCCACTTTATACTAGAGTTTAGGAGAAGTAGTTGGCTCTCACAATTAATTAGCTCTTTAATATTAAAGTACAGAAGCCACATAACCACTCTATAAAACAGCACAGAAATGAAATGTGTGCCTGTTTAAAAATTTAAGAAGTCATTTTAAAGGTGAAGACTGTACATCAAGGACATTCATGTAACTCCAGTAGCGTTGTTAGATTTTTATTTTTCATCCACATGAAAACACTCCAAGCCTTTCAGGTATCAAACAACTATCACTGCAAACCTTTACTTTTGAAATGCTATCTTTATCATTTCTGTGCATTACACAAGCTTTCTGCACGTGATTGCCTTAGTCATCTTCCTGCAATAGCAATCTGGACATCAAAAGTCCTGCTATATATTGTTGGTACAGAAAATCTAAAGAGCTGACAGTGCCTAAAAGTACATATATGTCCTTCTGGAAAGTATAAGTGCATGATTTTTGTGCACCTTCTTCTATAGTACTTTTTTATAGATGTGCTCTTGTTTTTATTTAATGACGGGTTCATGCTTTTAATATAAGTATTTTGGCAATTATGAGCTTTATATGTAGCAACACATTTAAGGAAATTCTTTTGAAGAAAAATTTTTGATTGTTAACTTCATAAATGATTAGCTTTATTTCTTACATATATGTCTAAAAGGATAATGAAGTATATCTAAAAGTAATTACTGTAAACTGTTTTAGATTGCAATAAGAACTTGCATCATTAAACTGCAAATAAAAGTATGTTTTCTATCTTTAACTCAAATAAAGCTTATAATAAAGTCATCTAAATTTTATTTTCATAAGTGAAATTGAATACACGCGTCTTGAGAGATTCCAATAGTGGCTGTGAGCCTGCATTTAAGTTTTGTTTGTTGCCATCATCTAATTAGGAGATTTAAGTTAAAAGATAATGACTCTACTTATAATTTCTTAGTCTTGCTCCTTGAGTAAAAAGTACTTCCTTTTCTTCTGCACATTTTACATATTATAAGCCCATCTAGTAGAAGCAGCACGTAAATACCTACTTAATTGCCTATGTGATTGAAATGTATTTACAGTTAAGTTCCTTAAAATATTTAAATACCAAATAAATTAGAAGTTAAATAAAAATAAGTAAAACCGTTAGGATAAATGTTAATTCCAAATAATGAAACTGTAATAACCTTAAGTATTATAAACGGGTTTTAAATGACTAGTGATTCATTATAATTTTCCAGTCACTCCTGGTAATAAAGTATCAGTTACTGAAAACTATCCTAAGTTCCTTAGAGGGCCACATAGTATCATAGTGAAAAAGCTAAAGATACCTGTTTTGGTGCATGGTTCACCAGTTATTACTTGGCTTTAAATGTTCTAGCTGAAACAGTGTAAAGGATCTCCTTTCCATTACTGCTCTTGATGTTAGGAGGCTAGTTTAGGTCCATGTAATCAAGCTCCTCAGCAAACAGCTTTCTGGCTACTCTAGCTCCTTTTACTCAGGATCTAAGCTGCTGTTAAGGAAAGAACTAAGAAGCCCATTGAAGATATTTCCATAAGAATAAAGCATGGTGCTAAGAATTGGGGTTTGAATAAAGAAACCACTGTTTGAACCCTAGCTGTCAGTAACTATGATGTTGGGCAATACAAAGTCTGAGCTGCCCCTACAAAGTGGGATGGTAAGAGTACCTGTACCTCCCTTGTTTTATAGATTGAATGCCTATAGAGATCATTACAGTAGCTGTCTCATATTAAACTCAATAAATGGTGGTCATTCTAATATAGTTTAATGTTTGCAAATTTCTTAGAAATATAATGTCCTCTGGGGGGATACATTTGGAAGGCATACAACACAAAATCATGAAAATCATGTTTGAAGGTGTAGCTAAGGAGAATTTAAGCTTATGCTAAAAAATTTTGAAAAATACTTTATTGTACAATCATTACTACCAATAAAACTATTTTTTAGAGTCAAAGAGAATGTGTCCAAATTGCAAGCATACTAATAAAGCACAAATATTAAATAGAAACATGGTGCATATTATGTGCCAGGTACCAACCTTTAACTTGCCCCTGGTAATAATGGTAGATTTTGCTTTAGAAACTATTTAACTGCTTTTCTAGTTTCAAATATATTTTCCAAAATACTGTTGTCATAGAGCTCAATTTTCATCTATTTTATTAGAGCTAGAAAGGATAAGGGAGATAACTTATTTAGGACTAATTCACAAGTTATTTAATTAACCTCTATGTACAATTTTAAGAAAGTCCCCACTTCTTAATTTATAATTAAAATTACCTCATAATGTAATAACCTTAGTATAAAATTCATCATTGATAGTCTTATCCCTAAAAGACATTTATCTCATTCAACTCAGTCAAGGTAGAGGACAGAAATCAATGGCTAAATTATAGTTGACCTTTGAACTAGAGTTTGAATTGGGTGGGTCCACTTAAAAAGACTTTTTTTTTTTCAATTAGCCTGCATAGTTCAATTGATCCTCTCAGTGCAAACCAACACTGTTAAAAGGTCAAGAGGCAATTAGGAACCCACATATTCAGAGCACCACCTTAAGTTAAAATGAATGGTCAGTGCCCTTAATTCCCTGTTGTTGTTCAAGGGTCAACTGTATTTTATTTTACTGTAATACAATCTCCTCTCAGGTTGGTTTATTGACATACAAGTTAAGAGTACATGCTTTGAAGTAAGGACAGCCATTTACTGGCGGTGTGACCTAAGTAAGCCACTTTACTCTGAAGCTCAGTCTCTTCAATTATGTAATCTAGACAGCAGTATTAAACTGTCATTAATAAAAGCTGCTGCTAATACAAAACGCCTATAACTTTACACAAGTGCATTTTAATTATCAGAAATAAGACACCCCCACCCTTATTTGAACTTAGATGTATAAATAAACCTCCAGTTTCAAACTAACATTTATAAAAATTTTATCAAAAACTACAACACGTCTAGATAGTATGTTATTTGACTTTACTTAATAACTGACTCACATATATATATATTATCTAGATTTATCCAGCTAACAAATTGATACTTAAGATGATTTTGAAAATACTTTATCTTGAGCTTGAACTAGATAGAATCTTAAGTATGGAAGCCTTTTAGTGTCAGAAAAAATATTCATGAAAACAAACTAAGATTCAGTAAGAACTTACTATGTGTTATGTACTCTTTTAAACATATTATCTCATTTAATCTTCACAGCAACCTATGGAGGAGAGGTAACAGTGTAATCCTGATAGTACTAAAGAGTAAATAGGGTAATTAATTTACCTTGCTAGTAAGTGGTTGAACAGAAATTTGAAGCCAATTAATATGGCTTCAGAATCCAAGCTCTTACCTACTACCTTTCAAAGAAAGCCCTAGGTTACTTGAATCTGAAAAACCTAGTAACAAGCAAATTTTATAATTTTCATTGTTTTCAACAAATTCTAAGAAAAACTAAAGGACACACAATTTTTAATTTATAAAAATTCCTTATATTTTCCCATTATCAGATTGTGTCTTCAGAACTTTTATAAAAGCATCTTTTGGAACTTCAACATTGCCAATTTTCCTCATTTTTTTCTTCCCTTCTGCTTGTCTCTTCAAAAGTTTCATTTTTCGGGTAATATCACCACCATACTGAAAAATATTTTAAAAATTGGAAGTCCAAATCACTCCACAGAACATCATAAAGTTACATAGTGACATCAATACAACATTGCTGCTATTTTTATACATGAAGTAGGTATCTGCAAAAACACCTCTGTATTCCACTCCTAGCCTTAGTTTTACTGCCCCAAAGATAAAGACTTTTATTTATTTTTGGTTGGAGATGACTATACCCATGGAAGCACAGTACCACATTATGCATGTCAAAGAATTATCAATCTCTCTACTAATTCAGGAAGTTTTGGATTAGATAGCTGTAATTTATAATATAGAAACTCACATAGACATAAATGTGTCAGTCCCTATGCAGAGGATTTAGAAAAAGCATCTATCCTTTATCATAATAACCAATTAATAACTTTTTAAAAGCTGAGAAAGCAAATATGATAAAGCAATGTAGGAGGTGGATTTCAGTTGCCATATTCTTTCCACTGTAAGAATAGCCATTGTCTTCAAAATCTTTTCCTAAAAATTAGATCAACAAAATGTGTTATTCAGTTCATAACTGTTATAAAATACTTTCTTAGATACTGCACATTAGGAAATTTTTAAATAAGATGAAAAAAATATTAAGAACATGATCAAAATGAATATGATATCATAGCCAAGATGAAATAAAGGGTATTATAAAAACCAACAATGGAAGCCAATATATTTACATCGCCTTTGGTTTTAAACTCACAAAATAGACATATTATTACAAAGTAGAATACAAGTAGATACGTACACATTTTGCCAAAACATTTTTCCTATAGGCTTTCACACTGTAAAAGAGAAAATTTTATATAAGTATGTAATTTCATTATACTGTTTAAGAGTACATTATTTTCAAAGTTTTCCCTTTTATTAAAGATTTCAATGATAGTGTAAAACTGCTATAAGTGGCAGGAAAAACATGGCATAGATGATAGAGGCTCTGTTTAGTCCTCTGGTGACCAAATAAAAGTTGTGACAGAAATAAGGAGCAGCAGCAAGGAAAAAATCGCTGGGATCTAGATGAACAAGCCATACAACTAGGGAGAAATACAAGAAATCACCCTGCAACAGCAGAAAGTAGGACGGGACAAGGACACGGGGCTGCCCAGTCTCGAGTGGCTGAGTGAGATGGAGGCTGCAGCAGTGGCAGAAGTAGAAGCCTCTTAAAGGGGCCGCTGCGTCCACAAGCAGATTTTCGCAGTGATAAATCTGCTTGCTCTGAGCACTGGTGCCAATTCAGTGGTACAGGGGGCACCAGAGACTTACAGGGAGATGTTGTCAGAGTGAGGGCCAAAGTGAGACTCACTCTATACAGAAGTGCTGGTGGTATCCATTTTTCCCATTTGAGCCCTCCCCCATACCAGTGTGTGGACACAGCGCCACCATAGCCACGAGGTCACCAAACTGGATACAGAGGTACTCCGTCCAGATTCCCTGAAACCCCACCTCCCCCAACGCAGGCCTGCCTTCTCCCAAGCCACATCCAGGTATGTCCTCAGCGAGTGAGGTGCCCCTTGCTGAGCAGCCTAGACTCACACTGGTGGCAGCTGGCTTCGGTTTCTGGTGTGGCCTTTTGAAGCAACTATAAGCACAGCATCTGTGGATTGTTTCCTGAATCGTATCAGGTGGCCCCGGAGGGGTAGAGGCTTGGGCTAAGTCTGACCTGCACCTGAACCCCTCTCAGGACTGTGCCACTGGACACCTACTACACAAATCCAGAAACAAACACAGGGAGGCAGGTAAAATGAGGAGACAAAGAAACATGTTCCACATGAAAGAACAGAACAAAGCTCCAGAAAAAGAACTAAATTAAATGGAGACAGAGTTCAAAATGCTGGTTATAAGGATGCTCAATGAACTTAGGGGAAGAGTAGATGAACTCAGGGAGAAATTTAACAAAGAGATAGAAAACATAAAAAAGAACCAATCAGAAATGAAGAATACAAGAACTGAAATGAAGAATACATTAGAGGGAATTAACAGATTAGGTGAAGAAGAGGATTGAATCAGTAGGTTAGAAGACAAGGTAGCAGAAAATACCCAATCAGAACAGCAAAAAGAAAAAAAAAAATACGAAAAATGAGGAAAGTTTAAAGGGCCTCTGGGACAACACCAACATTCTCATCATAGGGATACCAGAAAGAGAAGAGAGAGCTCAAAGAATTGAAAACCCATTTCAAGAAATAATGATGGAAAACTTCCCTAACCTCTGCAGGATATGGACATAAAATCTCAGGAAGCTCAGAGAATTCCAAAAACCAGGGATCCAAAGAGGCCTACACCAAGATACATCATAATTAAAATGCCAAAGGTTAAATACAAGAAAAGAATATTAAAAGCAGCAAGAGAAAAACATAATTACTTATAAAGAAACAACCATAAGACTGGCAGCTGATTTCTCAAAAGAAACTATGCAGGACAGAAGGGCTTTGCAAAAAATATTCAACAGGATGAAGACCCAAGATCTACAACCAAGGATACTTTATCCAGGAAAACTAGTATTTAGAGTTGAAAGACAAAGAGCTTCCCAGACAAAAATAAGCTAAAGGAATTTATCACCACCAAGCCAGTATTACAGGAAATGTTGGAGGGACTTAAGAAGAAAAAATACAAAAGACTCATTTCAGATTAAAAGACACACACAGACTAAAGGAAGGGGATGGAAAAAGATATTGCTCTGATGGACCTAGAAGGTATTTAAGTCACAAAAAAGTAAACATTGTATGATTTCACTTATATGCAGAATTTAAAGAATACAAAGAACAAACTAATCAAAACCAGACTCACAAATATAGTGGACAATTTGGTGATAGACAGAGGGGAGGGGCAGTTAGAGGGCTGGGAGAATGGGGTGAAAGGTTAAAGAAGTACAAATTAGTAGCTGATGGATGGTCACGGGGATGGGAATGCAGTTAGCATTAATACGGTGGCTAGGTGGAGGTTCAGGGGAAGAGGGAGCAATTGGGGGGATCATTTTTTGAACTATATAGATGTCTAACCAATGTACTGTATACTTGAAACTAATTAAAATAAGTAAACTTAAAAAAACTGCCATAAGCAAATAATTAAGTAGCTCAAATACTCTAGTATTTTATCTTAATGTATTTGAGATAAAACAGAAAATTCAACATGAATATATTTTATTAAGAATAAGAAGGTCAAGTCTTGTGGGTAGTCCTGATGAGGCCAGATTCAAGCATGGTGTGACTTTGATTACAAGAATTACATAAGGTCATTTCTGGTTCAACTTAAAAACTATTATCACTAACAACTGCAACTTGTAAAAATTAATTAAAAATCATTATAATCTTAATTACTAACTACCTAATGTGGGTCAACAGTGACTAGGAATATAAAGAATAATATATTACTTTTATAAAAACAACTTCAAGGTAAACTAAATAATTTTAATGTATCCACACAAACAGTTATAAATTAACCTATTTCTATAATGTTTATTGAAAATTGTGAAGGATAAGAAATTTGAAAATAGCTCCACTTTTATGTATTCCATAAGAAGATATAAAATTCTCCTCTTTTCTTTATGGTATTCTCTACTTCAGCACAATTACATTTGCTGTTTTAAACTGCACTTCCTAAGATGCTCCTAGGTTATCAACTCCATTCTGCTTAATCTCTGGGTATTCATGAAATACAAAATAACTCGACTAAAGTAAAATGGTATTAGAGAATTAAATTTATTGCAAATATAGGCATAAAATTTATTCCAAGACTTTATAAAAATGATTTATTCCAACACTTTACTACTGATACATTAGGTTTGTGTTAAACTAGAAATGAATAGCAACTTTCAACTGAAGAGACACTTCTGATTTCCAAGAAGTATTAAGACAATGAAGGTAAGGAAATAGGAAATGCTGTGAGATACTTCCTGCACTTATTAGTAGAGCAGCTTATTTGATGTTCTGATTTATATACATCATGTATCAAGAAACATAAAAAAGACCAGTTTTCTAAACAAATTAGCCTATCTTCCATGTCTATATCATACGTGAGGTCCTTAATCTAGAATGCAAAAGCTTACCATGTTAGCATTCTTCTCTCAGAGTTACAACCTGACTAGCTCTGAGGAAGTGATATTAAATGCTTCGAGTAAAAAATCATAACTTAGTTTTATTATTTATAAGAATATCTCCAAAACTTTTTTAGTTTCTGTTCTTATTAGCTTATAACCATCTACCTGAAGGGATAAAACCATAGAACTTTACAAAAGGTCCTTACCCAAGAAATTCAGTAGTCATTCAATAAAACTAGTAGAAATACAGCAATTCCTCAAACCCATATACATTCTATTAATAATCATAAATAATATCACTCGAAGTGTTAAATAAGTAATTAAAAGTAATAGTCATCACTTAAGTTTATAGAATTAAGAGTAAGACTAATGTTTCTACAAGTAGTAGTAAAGGTTAGGCCAATGTTAAGTTAAATCTTTCAATATTTCATTTTCTAGTTATATCATTTCTTAAACCAATCTGAAATAAAATGAATTTCAACTCACGTTTCTCTTGCAATGATTTTACTTCCAATAGCAGCTTGAATTGCTATCTCAAACAGCTGCCTGGGAAGAGAATCTTTCAGACGTTCACATATCGCTTTGCCAACAGAGTGTGCTTTGTCTCTGAAACAGAAAATGCAACTATTTGCATATGCTAAATTAGAATGTTGAAGTAACTTTCTAGTCCATATGCATAACAATGTAAAGGTGATTCCTTAAGGAATGTTTATTATAAACATCACTCTCTGAATCATATATGACTTTTCTAATTGCAAAAATAACATTCAATCTATTACAGACAATAGAGAAAAACATACATTAGAGAATAAAAACCACTCCTAATGCCCTTCCCTTCGCCCATAGAAAACCATTGTTAAACATTATAAAAAGTTTCTGTTAAACATACACCATTATATTTTTCTACATAATTTTTTTATACTTTGGATTACAGTATGTACATATTCTACTTTTTTATTTAATAGGCATTTTTATGTCACTATTACTCTATAATATAGTTTTAATGGCTTAAAATAATAAATATGAGTGCTCTATAATTTATTTTAACCAATCTATTTCTTGAACATTCAGGATTTCATTTTTATTACTATAATTTTTTTTTTTTTTATGAAGCTTATAAACTTTTTGTTCTCAATTCTAAATGTCATAAAGTTTTAAAAACATTTTCTTTTACTTTGTCTTGCCTGGTAAGGGAAACCTTTCTTCCTATGATGCTATTCTTTCTGACTACTGTACTTCCAATCTCCCTTTAATATTTTAACAGTTTGGAAAGAGAAGAATGAAAAAAGAATGGAAGGAAATATTAGTAGAGGGAAATTTAATTATCTTTTAAGTTTTCAAAATATAGCAGTCAAAAATTAGCAACTAATAATTATATAAAAATGTTAAAAGTGGTTGCTTTCACATTACATGATTAATTTATATTCAACTTACTTGTGTACAACAGTTACTAGCTCCTCTACAATATTTCCATTCAGTAGAATATCCATTTTTACAAGTTCTGCAGTCTGGTAGCCTGCATCTTCGTAATCAAAACTAACAAGGAAAAATGTCCAAGTTATAAATAAGCATTATACTTCCCAAGAGATTACATTTTTCTTTCTATCCCCCATAACTCCCAAAACAGGTTTCACTTTTCATCAAAATATTGCATATACATTTCAGATGAATGAATTTAAATGACCACTATACGGAATAAACTTCATCATATTTTTACATTTATGAGATGAAGGGCAAAAGCAAGGGGAACATGCTCTAAATGGAGAATGAAAAGAAATTGGTAAGCGAGTTTAGGAATCACTGAAGGCAAATGTGACTTTTCCCAATGTTCCCTCCCAGCAGCTGGTTGGCTATGGACAATAATATACACTAATGGTCATTTCAGATTCATAAGTTGGATTTCTTTTAGTTTTGTAATAAATGCTATAGCATTGATAAACAGCCATTAATAACTTTTGGATTTCAGATATGGTTCTTCAGTTTGAACCTTCACAGAGCTTTTTTGATAATAAAATGTGTTAATACATGTAAAACACTAGAACAGTACCTAGTATATAAAAACTGTTTAAAAACAGAGCCTATCCAAACAGGAAATGAAGTCATCAAACTGTCACTATTTACAGATGACGTGATTCTCTATAGAGAAAACCCTAAAGACTCCACAAGAACACTACTAGAAACAATAAGCAAATACAGTAAAGTCTCTGGTTACAAAATCGATGTTCAAAAATCCATAGCGTTTCTATACTAATAATGAAGTGTCAGAAAAAGAAGTAAAAAAAATAATTCCTTTTGCGATTGCACCAAAAAGGATAAAATACCTAGGAATTAATTTAACAAAACATGTGAAGGACCTATATAATGAAAACTATAAGATCCTATTAAAAGAAATTGAAGAAGATACAAAGAAATGGAAAGATATTCCGAGTTCTTGGGTTGCAAGAATCAACTTAGTCAAAATGACCATAATTACTCTAAAGCATTATACAGATTGAATCCAATCCCCATCAAAATCCCACCAGCATTTTTTAAAGAAACAGAACAAGAAATCATCAGATTTGTATGGAAGTACAAGAGACTCTGAATAGCCAAATCCATCCTGAGAAAAAAGAACCAGACTAGAGGCATCATTATGCCTGACTTCAAATTATACTACAAAGTGACAGTAATCAAAACAGCATGGTATTGGCAGAAAAACAGACACACGGTCCAGTGGAACAGAATTGAGAGTCCAGAAGTAAACCCATATTTAAATGGGTAAATAATTTTTGACAAAAAAGCCAAAAACATACAGTGGAGAAAGGAAAGCCTCTTCAATA